AACTTGAAAAGTGAATTTTGCATCCGATGACCCCTTTAAAAAATTCTATAATATTTTTATAATGGATTTTCCTGTTTTGAAGTTGAAAGTCTGTCTGGGAGAAGAGTAAAACTATTAAATAGCTACATAAAAAGTATTTGGAAAATGCCAAAAATAACATCACCAACATACAAACACCCATAGTTAACAAAACACCAATTAAACATAAGGGTCTGTTACTTTGTGTTGTATTTACCTGTCCCTTATAGAAGCCCTCAAACCCATCACTAACAGCAAACATAGTGTGGCCTTCGGTGATCCCAACCCTGACGGCCGAACGCACGGCTGCATTCATGCCAGCTGCAGGAGCGCCAACATTCAACACAGCCACATTAAATGAGCTCTAGAGAACAAAAGAGAGCATTATCACACAACATAAACACAACTCTGACTGAATCCTGTCATTCATGAAATCAGGCCTGCTTCTCAAAATGAGTTAGATGAGCTCAACGTAGTTGTGCAAATGTTTATAGAGCAGAACGATTTGAAGTCTAATCTGACTCCACAGAACAAAATCCTGGATTAAGCTGCATTTGTGTGTGTGTGTGTGAGTAAATCACTTCATGACTTTGTACAAAGATGATTCAGTCTCCCTACACTCACATCCTTCATTCAGAAAATTCACAAAAATCTAACCTTTCATTGAAGTAAAACAACTGAACATGGTGGGGAAAATATATTTTGTAGTTGGAACAAATCAATCAAATGCTTATTAGGAAAATAAATCGGAAAAGGAACTTCAGGAACCTCAATCAGGTGAAAAACATTGCGCTATTCAATTCGATTCTATTCAATTCTATTCCTATATTCCATGTACATACACAACAACAGCCTTCCTGTGTTCCGTCGTCAAAAGAAAATAAATAAAGATATCGAGCTGTCAGTGTCACAGAAATAGGCTGAATCAGAGCAAATATGTTATACACAATATTATAAACAATAATAAGTTGAAAGTCATTATCACTTACATGTGGAAGTTCAGAATCAATTTTTCGATGAGACAAGAGTTTATAAGTGTTCAGGTTGTTTTCGAAACTTCTAAAATTTCCAAAGAAAAATGAAAAAGGATCTAAAAGTCATTCAGACATTTTCTGTTGGGTTAAAAGCACCAAAACTAAGATGAACATTGACATCTGCTCTGTAAAATGATGATTTTTGTGGTTTACCTGCCACGCAGCCTTACAGCTTCTTCAAATCGCTTTTCATCCATGGCCTTCTGGACCTCCTGCGTCTGCAATACAACAAACAAACAGGCTGAAAATCCCAAAACACTAAAACAGAGTGATGCTACCTAACACTCTTTTGACTGAATTAAACTGACAGGTATAACTACAGTTTCAGGATTGCCTGTTATTTAAAAAAAACATGGATCACATTGTCTATATGCAACAATGAAGTAACCCATATGGAAATGCAATATATGACATATATTGCTCTATATAGAGTGAAATTGCCATATATGTAACGTATAAGGCGATATATAATTTTCACATATGCATATTCTCTGGATAGATAAAGACATAAGTGTGTAACATACAAAAACTAAAAACCCCATAGTAAAATCTTTATATGAAAATATGTTAACAATATCTATATGATGATTTTTATATTGTATTATTATATGTAGCAACTATATATGACAACAATATGTGACCTTGGACCACAAAACCAGTCATAAGTGTCAATTTTTCAAAATTGAGATTTATACATCATATGAAAGCTGAATAAACAAGCTTTCCATTGATGTATGGTTTGTTAGGATAGGACAATATTTGGCCAAATAAGCTTTTCATTGATGTATGGTTTGTTAGGATATGACAATAATTGGCCGAAATACAACTATTCGAAATTCTGGAATCTGAGGGTGCAAAAAAAATCTAAATAATGAGAAAACTGACAAAATGACGTTCTTAGCAATGCATATTACTAATCAAAAATTAAGTTTTGATATATTTACGGTAGGAAATTTACAAAATATCTTCATGGAACATGATCTTTACTTAATATCCTAATGATTTTTGGCATAAAATACAAAATTTTCATTTTGACCTATACAATGTATTTTTAGTTATTACTACAAATATACCCCAGCGACTTAAGACTGGTTTTGTGGT